CCCTCCTCATCTTCCCAATTGCATTGTTTTGGCGACCGCGTGAAGGGCAAATCACTCATGGGGGCTGTCACCGCCCAAGACTTCGATTTCGCCACTGCCTTGTGAATGTCTCCAATTGCGTCCAGGTCAGTTTTCCTGCATAATGTAATCATCGCCACATTTGGTAGCTGTCCACGAACGGCCCCCCATGCCATCTGATTGTAGGGCCCGACAGAAAAGTCTGATCTTTTGTCTTGCTTGAGGATGTTTTAATATTCGCTCGGGCAAAATATGTTTGACATTATCACCAGATCACCTTTGTCAATTGATGCGCAATCCAACGTATGACCCAAACAAAACGCGTTGGCAACTTTGATATGCACACCCATCGCAGTCAACCTAATCATGTTTAACTGAGCTCCCGGCCTTTTAGAGAAACCAACATCTGCTACGATGCAAGCCATATGGTCGAAGTCTCAGTATCAAATCAATACGCCCTGGCACAGATTGGTCCTCAAACGGCGGCGGAGCAATAGTGGTAGTGTGAAGGCAATTGTGTTAATGTTGATGTTCGCATTTAATGCTGTGTTTTTGTTTTCTGAATTGTTTTCGGATGTCTGCGATACGATGGTGATATGATGGCGTTGATATGATGATATACAGCTGTGGTCATCGTGATGATGGCCATAATGGTGTTGATGACGTCGATTGTGTTGTACGCATGTGGTAATGTTGCGTGTTATGGTGTATTTGCTGTGGATATGGTCCTGCTGTTGGTGGTGCTGTAGTTGATCATGATATGGATATGTTGTTGGCGGTGCGGTTGACTGTTTTTTGGTTCTGCAACCATCATATGTTACACATCACCACCAACAACAACCGCACACCAACATCATCATAGACACGAGCAACACGTTAACACACTACCAACGTACAATCATCAACATGTCAGACATCACAACAACATGGCGCTCATGACCAACATCACCTCCACATTAACAGCATACTCGTTGCAACCACAAGGAACATCATATAATAGAACCATCTTCTCGCAATCGTTACCAACTCACTGCGACTATCGTCATCATAACCATATCATCACCATGTCATTATATCAGCATATCATCATCGCCAACCACCGCTACCATCATCATCTCATCGTGACCATCATCATCACAACCACCATCATCATCGTCACCATCATCGTCATCATCGCGGTGGCGACCACCACCCGACCAGGAGGGTCGGGAGACACACCCCCCCTGCTATGGCCACCCAAGTGTAACAGGGCTCCGGCATCTCTGACCCAACCTTGCCGGGACCTTGCCGGGACCTTGCCGGGGTACCGGGGACCCCCAGGGGCCGCCCCGCGCGCGCGAACTAGAAATACTGTTAACCAGGTACCGGAGATCTTAGCACGCCCTGGCCCGCTGGGCCGGCGAATTCCGCGTCGCGACGCGCACCGCCTGCCCCACCTCCCCCCCCGCGCCCCAGCGCCCCAGCGGGGGCTCCGCCCCGTGCCCCCTTCCGCCCCGACAAGTTCAATCCGCGCCGCGACGCGCGCCACCCCCCTCCCCCTCGCGCCCCCGGCGCCCCAGTGGGACCCCCGCCCCGCGGCCCTCCGCCGAGGAAATTTCATTCCGCGTCGCGAGCACACCGCATCCCCCCCCCCTCCCCCCCTCGCGTTTTCCCCCCCCCCCCCACGCACCCACACAACACACACACACACACTTGGGATTTGGGCACCGTTGCTGGGCCCCGAGGGGCGATGTCTTGCCCCCTCTCCCCCCTCCTCCACCTCCTCCTCCTCCCCCTTTCTTTGCGTGCAAGAGCCATGGCACACGTGCCACTTGTTCCGGGCCGATGACGGCAATCATCTGGGAGGGGTAAAGGGGGTCGATGACGTCACGCTTCGCGCCGGCGGCGTATGGGAATGCTCAGGAATGATGGAGGACGGGTGGCACCAGCATGTAGGTGGCGATCTGCACCACAACGCTTGTGTACACCTCAGTGCCTGCGTGCACCACAGCGCTTGTGTACACCACACCGCCTATGTACACCACAGCAACCGCGTGCAACACAGTGTCGGTTTGTGCCATCGCGCGCGCGCGGGCGCAACAGCTCTTGTGTACACCACAGCGCCTGCGTACACCACATCAGCCGTGTGCAACACAGCAGTGTACACCACAATGCCTGCGTGCATTGCAGTGCCTGTGTACACCACGGCGATCGTGTGCACCACAGCAACCGTGTGCAACACAGCACCACTGTTGTATGTAGAATGTTTGAAGGAATCCTTATGACAAAATGGAGCGCGTGTGGATTCCACCGAAAACACCAGAAAATCATCCTTGTGGACAATGGATCGCCAAGGGAATCCACGAGTCCTTCCGAGTTCGCCCGCGCCACCGTAACTCCTCCCATCTGTGTCCACGAGGCTCAAGCTAAATTGGCCGTCCGAAAACCAAAAGGGCCGATTCAATGGAACATTCTGCGGTGCACCCTGAATTGCGCACGTGTGCTGCAGCGCCAACCCGCACGACAGGGGGTAAACAGGAGGAGGAGGAGGAGGAGGCGGAGGAGGAGGAGGGGGAGGAGGAGGAGGAGGAGGAGGAGGAGGAGGAGGAGGAGAAGAAAGAGAAAATGGAGGAGGAGGCGGAGGAGGAGGAGGAGGAGGGGGAGGAGGATGAGGAGGAGGAGGAGGAGGAGGTGGAAGTGGAGGAGAAGGGAAGAGGGAAAAACGTCGCATCCGATTATCAGCACCTTCCTGGCGTGGCACCTCCGCAGCAGATCCTCACCCGCGCCGTGGTGCACGCAAGCATTATGGTGTACACAGGCGCTGCGTTGCACATGGTTGCTTCCGGTATGCACATGTACACCGGCGCTGTAGTGTACGCAAGCATTGCAGTGTACACAGGCGCTGCGTTGCACACGGTTGTTGTGATGTACGCAGGTGTTGTGGTGTACACGCGCGCTGTGGTGCACGCGAGCGTTGTGGTGTACACAGGCGCAGGGGGGCAGATCGCCACCTACATGCTGCTCGCGTCGTCGTCGTCGTCGTCGTCGTCGTCGTCGTCGTCGTCGTCGTCGTCGCTCGTCGCTCGTCGCTCGTCGCTCGTCGCGCGTCGTGCGCGCGGGCGCGGCTGTGGTGCCAGAGCCACACGGCGGGGGGTGTGGGGCGTTATGTCATACCCCCCCCGCACCCCCCCAATGACGCCCGTCATCGCCGAGCATAAAGAAACGCTCTCCAGAGAGCGCGACCCCGACGGGCAGGCGCGCCAGCAGGGCGGCCTCGCTCAAGCCGCCAGCCCGCAGCTCAGCGCAGCGGACCGCGTCCCACTTGGGACATCTCCAGAAGCGGTGCTCGCGCGTCTCCTCCGAGGCCCCGCAGTGCGGGCAGCGCGGAGGCGGGCCCCACCTCGCGGCCACCGTTTCGGTGACGACGTTGCCCGTGAGCACCGCGCGCAGGGCGCCGGCCGCGTCTGGCGCGAGCTCCTCGCTCTCCAGCAGGCGCCGGGTGGCCCACCGGTCGATCCCGTTCTCGACGTGCCTGAGGTCAGCACGACGCCCGGCCACCACGCGGGCCTCTCGCCGCGCCCAAGCGTCCAGCAGCGCCGCGCGGGTGTCCTGCAGAGGGCGGTCACGGGGCCGCCAGCCGCCAGGGGCCCACGGCACTCCCTGCCAGCACTCGATGTCGCCACCAAGGCCAAGATCGGCCATGCTCCGCCGGACGGCCGCGAAAGGCCCTTGCTGGCGGCCGTGGCTGGCGTCCGCTGCGCCCTCCATGTCGCGCCAGAGCCCGAGCGGCAAGCGCTGGCGGCGCAGCGCCTTCGCCGCCTGCCACAGCGGGGCGAGGGCAGCGACCGCGGCAGGGTCGAGACGCCAGCTCGGACTGAGCACGCCGAACACGATCTCGGCAGCAGCCCGCAGCCCACCATGGCAGACGGCCTGCCGCGCGGCCGACCGTAGGCTGGCCAGCTCGCGCTCCGGGGGCCGCTCACACGAGGCGCCGTGCATGCCAGCAGTCATGCCAGCCGCCGCGCCAAGCAGGCAGCGCTGCCGGAAGCCCACCGGCAGCCGGGCGATGTGGGAGAACCGCCCTGCTGCCAGCCTAGCCCGCGCGCCGATCACAGCGCAGCGCCGTGCCCCCCCTGCGGTGGACGCCACTCCAAGGTCACGGATGCCACATCCTGCAGCGACCCCCGGGGTCTGCTCGCGGAGCCAGCGCCGGAGACTGGCGGTGTTCGCGAACTGGCGGCTCTTGTCCCTGTTGAAACGCCAGTCCATGGCCGTCTCGAACACCGACGTCAGCCGAAGCGCGTCGCGCACGGCCTCGCCGACCTCGGCTGCCTCCTGGCCGGGGCCGCGGGCCCAGAGAGTAAAGTCGTCTACGTACACTCTCTGCTGGAGGCGGTCGTCAAGCGCGCCGCAGCGCCGCTGCCAGGGCCACGTGAGCACGCTGAAGAAGACGGCCAGAGAGCATCCTGGAAGCATGCCGCTGGTCGGCGTCCAGGGGTCGCCAATGGCCCTGCCGACCTGGACCCGCCGCTGCGCTGTAGGCAGCCATCGCCGGCTCCACCACCCACCGCGGCACACCCGCCCGCTCCAGGATGGCGGGGAGCGTTCGGAGGTCGACGTGGTCGTAAGCCTTGCGCCAGTCCAGGGCTGCGCCGGCGATGCTCTCCGCCAGGGCCTCCGCCGCTTCCAACTCCAGGGCGATCTCCCAGGCGAGCTCCTCCGCGCCTCGCCACGCGTCGGCGCCGCCTCAGCTCAGACGCCATTGCGCGAATAGGCATGCGCGGCCACTGGCCCACAAGCGGTAGAGAATCGGCAACAACCAGATGGGTCGCCGATCGAGCGGCCCAGCACCACCGTCCAGTTTAGGGAGCAGCAAGCCCTCCGGCTCTGCGAGCTCGTGGGGCCAGCGGCCCGTCGTTTCAACCTCCTCCAGAAGGCCGCGATCCAGCCGTGCAGCTTTGCCAGCAGAAGGCGGAGCTCGCTCACGGTCTACCCGTCGAGTCCCGGTTTCTTCCTCTTGGGCATGCGCCGCAGGAGCCCTGCAACGAGGTCGGCGGTCCACGGCGCCCTCTGCGGGAAGGGCGGCAGGTTGTCCAGCTCCTGCAGCCACTCTTCGCCGATCGCGACCCGCGGCTGCCGCTGCCACAACTCCCGCCAAGGCCCCTCGAAGAAGCGGAGTTGCGCCGCGGGCCCGCCACGAAGCGACAGCAGCCACGGCCTGCTGCCCACCGGCGCCCGCGCTGCGCTGGCGACCACGGCAGGGTCGGGCACGAGCGTCGCATCCTAGGTGCCTCCGCCGCGGATCCAACGGTCAAGCCTCCCCTGCCGGTTCGTCAAGCAGCCGTGGACCCACTGCCGCCAATTGGCACGGCGACGCGCCCTAGCAGCAGCGCTGGCCTGCCGCCGCTTCTCGTCCGCCCGGGCCAGAAGGTCCGGCGGGACCCCTGCAGCCACCGTGACCCCCGAGAGGGCCTGCGACCATGCAGCATCAGTAGTGTCGGCGGCACGGAGTGCAGCCAAGGTAGATATCGCGACGCGCTGGGCCGCGCCTCCTGGACGCTGCGAGGCTTGCCGGAAGCCGCGCAGCCGCCGGAGCCGGAGCAGCGCCGCATCAGCCGCGGCCTCGGCCGCCTCGCCGCCACCTCCGGCTGTGGGAGGCCGGTCAGCCTGCCATGCCGCAGCCGCATGCGGGCGGTCCGGCACGGCCTGGAGCCCGCGACGCACAGCGAGCCACTCCCGCATCGTCGCATGAAGTTGCTGCCAGGCGGACGAGAGGTCGCGGTGGTCAAGGGCGCGGTGGAAAGCCTCCTGGCGGCGAGCCTGCACAGCAGCGGTCGTCGCACCAGCCGACTCTGCACCCCATCCCTCCGCAGCGCCGCCGTCCAAGGCCACCACGGGCTGCCGAAGAAGTGCACGCTCCGGCGGCGCGACCTGGAGCTCCACCAGCAAGGCCGCGTGCGTGGCCAGACCGAGGTCCCAGCGCAGCCCGACCCGGGAAACCAGCGATTGAGCCCCGGCGTTCGCCAAGACGTAGTCGATCCGCGACGGGGCACCGTGCGAGGGGATGCAGGTGGGGCCGAGGGCGGCGAGGAGGTCCCTGCAGCCTGCCAGGCGTCGCGGAGATTGCAATTGAGGTCGCCCACCAACAGCGTTGGCGCCCCTCCCAGGCCGCTCAACCATGCCAGGCCCTCCAGCAGCAGGTCAGCGTTGCGCTCAAGGTCAGGGGGACCACCAGCATAGCCATAGCAATGTGCTGGAGCCTCCCGAGATGCCCTCCTGACAGCCCAAGCATCGGCTCCGACTTGGCCGAACAGCGGCCCGGCACGTGCGCTGCGGCCAACAGGTGTTCGCCGCTGGCGGCGGGCCCCATGTGCAGCTGCATGCCCCTCGCCTTGGCTGCGGACGCGGCGGCATGCGCCTCCGCAGCGGGGATGCGCGTCCGCGCCAGCGCACAGCAATCCGCGCCAGCTCGCGCTCCAGCGAGTGACGCTTGCCACGAGCACCGTGGCGGTCTCCGGCTGCCCTCGCCGGCCTGGCCCCGGGTGCGAGGCCTCGCCCACGCGGGCGCCTCGCCACTGCCACACGCGCCGCTTCCCGCGCCGTCAGCAGCAGCAGCGGCGGCAGCATCGCCTGCGGACCCCGCGAGGACGGCGGACGAGCGCAGCCCGCCCCCAACGGCCCCCCCGCGGCGCAGTTCCGGCGGCGTCAGCGGGGGCCCCCGGCGGCCCAGGCGCCCCCCAGGTGGCACTAGGCGCCCACGATCTCCACCCCCGCGGGCCTAGGCGCCCCTGCAGCGGCCCCGCCGCGCCAGGGCGCAGCTCTGTCGGCGGGGGCCCCCGGCGGCCCCGGCGCCCCCCAGGCGGCACTAGGCGCCCGCGATCTCCAGACCGATGTTGGGGGTCGCGGCCGATTGACCGCCCCGTCGGCGGCGACCCCAGCGGCTCCGAGCGCAGCCTCGGGCGCCCACGATCTCCAGGGCGACGTTGGAGATCGTGGCCGATTTGCGGAGCCATGGCGCCCCCAGCGGCCTGGCCGCGCCGGGGCCCCGACCCGGCGGCGTCAGCGGCAGCCCCAGCGGCCCGATGCGCCCCTGGGCGGCCCCGGCGCCGCCTGGGGCGGGCGGCGCACGCAAGCGGGTGCGCCTCGCCGACGCGAATGCCCCGCCGCGGCCATCCGCTCCACCGCGCAGCTGGCAGCCCGCACAATCGCAGCCGTGCCGCATCGCGCGCAGCTGCAGCAGCGCAGGGCCCCCCCCCTGCGCGGGGCGCCACCTCCCCTTCCAAGGCGCACTTCCCCTTCCAAGGCGCCCCGCCGCCCGTGGAGGCGACCGACGGGGCCAGGACTCCGGGATCCTCAGGGCAGGCCGAGATCCTCAGGGCAGGCGCCCCACGCGGGGCCGAGGGGGGGCCTGGGGCTCCTTCCCAGGAGCCGTCGCCGCCGCCGCCGAGGGGCCGTTTCCCGTTACACATCCTTCTCCTTCCTCTGTTCCTATTTCTTCTCAGCTGCGTCACTTCCCCTCCTCCCTCCTCATCGTCTCTCCATCACGCCTTCCTCTCCCCGCCTCCTTCATGCGTTTCCGCGCCGAGTGGAGCACGTCCACCGCGCCAGCAACAGTTTTCCTGCTTCGTAGGATGAGCTCACTTTGCTCCGCCAATGGGGTGCGGAACGGAGAGGGAATGGGAGGGCTTGTTGAGAGGAGAACACAGGGCTTAGGGCGATTGGGGGTTATCGCATGTTAGCTGTCGGGACACAGAGGGGGGCACTTTCAGCTCATTGATCGAAGGCCGTCAGCACTCCGATGTTGCGAGTTCTAGGACATGGTCACATTTCGCGAGAACCACAACGCGCAGCGGTAGAAAAAAAGCGAGAAAGAGAGAGAGAGAGAGAGAAACGTCATTAAAGAGATGCGCGTACAGTTGCCGTCGCGACCACACGCGCGGCGGCGCGGCGTAGAACACGTCAAGCGAGTGCGCTCACCAGTCTGGCTCACGCAGCCAGCAGCAGCTGGAACCACCCACAGGGAACGACCGCGACATTCACAGGGGGGGCAGCGTGAGGGGACAGACAGGGGAAAGAGGGGAACGAGAGGAAAAAGGAGAAAGAGGGGTCACGGTGGAAGACAAACCAGCCCGACAGTGCCAAGCCGAAGCAGCAAGCGAGGCGCAGCGGGGAGGAGGAACGGCATCCAATTAGGACGCAGACTTGAGATAGCGCGGAAACTTGGGCCAGCCAGTATACCAAGGAGGGAAACACGCACACACACACACACACACACACTTGAAATATTGGTTCGAGATTGGTGCACGTCGAAGCCGTTGATCGAGACAAATATGGTCAGGGCTTCTGTGCACGTGTCTGCGGGCTATTCGCGGCCCCTCCGCGAAGGGACGCTGCCCTGACCCAGCGGCGCGTCCATCGAAACAACGACAGAGCGCCAACCCCATTTCGTTGTGGATGTTGCGCGCGTGCCGTGCAGCAAATCGCTCGACGCACTCACCCCGTAGGGACGGGGGCCCCATGCGATTTTACTCGGTGGGCGCACACGCGTGCGGCAACGCGCGGGGAAGCCGCACGTGCCCGACGAAGCGAAAGAAGCCCAGAGAGAGAGAGAGAGAGAAGAAGCCAATAGAGAGAGCCCTTCGCGTGCTACTGCTTCGACACTCGCCCTCCTCCTTCCCCCAAACGAGAGAGGGAGAGAGAGCAAAGCACAAGGGAGAACGAGAGAACAGGAGAAGAGGAGAGAAACAGAGGACAGAGAGAGAGAGAGCAACAAAAATCAATAACGAAAGACATGCATACATACATGATGAGAAAGAGAGAGAGAGAGATAGAGAGAAAAAAAACATAAACATAAAGAAGAGAAAGAGAGGGAGAGAGAGAGAGAACACAGGCAAACAGAAGGGCCAGCGGCTACAGCACATCGCAGGTCTTCCCTTCGTTTCGGCCTCTGGTGGCCGATTCTTGCCCTCGTGAGGCAATCGAGCATGGATGTGGGGCGTGGAGCACTGCCCCGGGGGAAGTGGTCGAGGTCTCTGGAGGCCTGCGGATGGAAGACGCCACGTCGTCGGACCCGGAGCCAGGCGGTCAGGGGCAACGTTATATGGCGGAGACAGGCCCCGCGAGGGACGCGTCGGACCCCAGTCGCCCGCCTGATCGATCGCAGAGGGGGGACTGACAGCCCACCCCGCACAGGACCTTGCGGATCTGCTGTCGGGGGCCTATCGCCGATGCCTCGGCACTGGATCGCCTAGTCCAGGTCGATGGCTTCTCCCCCCCCCCGAGCCAGTCCACCCCTGTCGTTGCCCCTCAGGCAAGGGGAAGCAAGGCGCTGGGAGAGAGCGAGTCGGAGGAGACGGGCGGTGTTGCGCCACGTTCAGCCTCCAGGCCCGCTGGCCCCATGGCCGTATCGAGAAAACACGATAACAGCCAACGGAGACTCCAAATCGATCAGAAAGCTGGCATGAAGCGGATTGGAGTGGACTGGAGTAGACTGAACTGAAGTAGGTTTGACTGGACTAGGATGGGCTGGACTTGCTTTGACTGGATAAACTGGACTCGACTTGTCTCGACTGAGCTCGTCTGGTTTAGTTGACTTACTTTATCGAACTCAACTCAATTCTATTATATTCGGCCTGACTCTACTCAACCATCTAACCTACTCTACTCGACTCTACTCTACTCGACCCTGCACTACCCTGCACTAAGCTACTCTAGACTGGGGCTGCGCGCGAACGCTTTCCGTTTGCGAGGTGGGAACGTGTTTCAATCCCAATATTCAGTCGTGCTACAATGTGTCATTATGTTGTGGGATGGTGGGTGGGAGTAGGCCCGGCCCTTTGACTCGCTCGAACTAACTAATTCGACTCTTTTCCTATTCCTATTCTCCTTTACCCTACTCAGACATAGTATACGATCCACTACTCTGTCGAAGACGCCTACGGCGAATCACCGCCGCCCCCTGCCTTTTAGGATAACTCTATGTGGCCTAACGATTGGGCCAAGTTTGGGCGGAGGAGGAGGAGGAGGAGGAGGAGAAGGAGGATGCTGATGATGATGCTGATGATGATGATGAGGAGGAGGAGGAGTAGGAGGAGGAGGAGGCCTCTTGGGAGCCACTTGGGGAACTCTTGGGGCCTCCTGTGAGCTTCCTGGGGGCCTCTTGGAGGCCTCTTGGGGGCCTCCTTGGGCTGTATTTCGGGCTTTGGGAGGCTTCTCGGGAGCTTCTTTGGCCGTCTTAGGGCGCTCCTGGCCCCCAAGACGCCGTCAGAAGATGTTTTTGGGGCCTCTTGGGCTGTCTTGGGCCGTCTTGGGGCCTTCTTGGGGCCGTCTTGGATGCGTTGTTTTGCCTTCATGGGGCCATCTTGGGTGCCTCTTGGGCGATCTTAGGGCCTCCTTGGGTGCCTCTTGGGCCGTCTTGGGCCGTCGGGAAGCCGAGCAAAAGCAAATGCCCAAATCCTTCAACAGCCTAAGGAGCATCAATGATTGTTGCCGCCTCGGGCCTTCGTGAAGGCCCTTCTTGAGGCCTCTTGCGTCATCTGTGAAGCCTCTTGGGGGCCTCCTGGGCCGTCTTGGGCCATCTTGGCGCCATCATTGGCCGTCTTGGGTGCATCTTGGGCCGTCTCGGGTGCATCTGGGAGCCATCTTGGGCTCTCTTGGAGCCATCTTCGCCGTCTTGGAGGCCATCTTGGGTCACCCTTGGCCATGTAGGAGCGAGGAAGGCAACCATCCGTGCAAATTGGGTGGCCGGCCCGCTGGGCCAAAGGCTCCAGGGGGAGTTCTTAAAGAACCAAAAAGCCTCAGACGCTTAGCACGCGGGCACCCCACGCGGCAAGACCACAGGCGGCGGCGGACCGAATGGCCTTCGGCCAACTCCGCCTCCGTGCCTGGCTCATGGATGCTGGGAGCTCTTGGGAGCGTTCTCGGGAGCTTCTGGGGAGCAGTTTTGAGGCCTCTTGAGGGCCTCTTGGAGGCCCGTTGAGGGCCTCTTGGAAGCCTCTTGTGGATTCCTCGGGGCCTCTTGGGCACCTCTTGTGGCCTCTTTGGAGCCTCTTGGGGGTCTCTTGGGGTCTCCTGGGAATTTCTTGGGGCCGAGGGCTCGAACTAC